TCCAATTGATGTTTTTTGTAAACACTATAACACATGTGCAACAGACACTCATTGTGCCTTCAGTGTATATTGTGTGGTTGTCTGTTCACTGACTTTGAGCTCCAGTGCCGGTGAGGTAACAGCTCTTGATGGACACGTGCTGGAGGTGTTTGTTGATGGCCAGAGCTGACAGTATGGGCTTCCAGTCCGCTAGACTGATGCGATCCGGGTTGAAGTCTAACATCCCTCGACTCAGGCTGGCCTTCACAGCGCGGACAGGGGCCGATCCTTGAGTCGAACAGACATGATCGTAGAAACCTTCAAAGTCCTGAGCGCCTCTCCGGCGGATCTGAGCTGGTTCCAGCATCACGCAACCTAAATCAAGACAAGAAATAGAAAAATCAAAGCTGTGGGAAAGATTTATGAACTATGACAGAATTGTGCATATGAAAAAAAAGACATCAACAGGAAAAAAAGAGGATTTTTCTTGACTTCATATCTTAAAAAACATATGGAGATGGTATTAATGTAATAAAAGGCCACTTAGGTGAACTTACAAAATAATTCACTTTCATGATTGTCTGTTAAAAAATATATTTAATTTGTAAATACTTTGTTGACATTTAAACATATTTTTTATTATATTATAATAGTACAGTTAATTGTCTACTGATTTCAATGGTTCAAATGTTTTAAAAGTATTAGGGAAAAATATCGATCACACTTTGAATTAGGTGTCTTTAACTACTGTGAACTTGCATCGAAAAATAATGTACTTATTGTGCTCATATTGTATTGCAAAACACTTGCTGCTATACACATACACATGGTCTTAAAGATACAGTAACAAAAAAGTAAGTGCGAAAAATTATCAAGTAGGACTAAAATATATTATATAATAAAATAGCATCTACAGAACAAAGTACAGACCAAAGATTTTAAGGGAATTATATGTTCAGTTTTGATTTTATATAGAATTATTTACTATACAGTTTTAATGTCATTACAACTAACTGTAACTAAATTACAGAAAACATAGAGTATTACCTTTATTTTTTTTTCAAGGGAAAAGTTACTAAAATTATAGTAATTAATTACACCCAACATTGTCTTAAAGGTAACGTTACAGTAACTAAAAAGTGGGTGTGAAAAATCATAATGTAGGACTCAAATATATTGTATAATGAAATGAACGTGTGCAGAATGCGTCAACTTTCATTGCAATAAATAAAGCCACTTGAAGATGAAATATAATCAGCTAAATAAAATAAGTAATCAGTATATTATCAGTTAATCAACCTGATACTAGTAACGTTATACAGAAGACCAGAAGAAAATAAATTATCCTTTACTCTTCAGCTCCTGGTAGCTGAAATTAATTGTACGTCAAAATATCGTGTATCTAGCCACATAATTCCTCAGATCTCTATAATAGATGTATGACATGTATGTAACGGTATCTTTAACAACGAACATGAGTTTACTACACCAAACTGTTTAAAGCTGGCTTGCTGGTTTTATTTATCTGTTATTACTTAAAGGGGGATTACCTGTTTGTTAGTTCTGTAGTCGTGGTTTCCACTCTAGAGACTGATAACCAACCCAGCGTCTCAAAACAAACCGCGGTGGTTTGAAAGGGAAACCGCGTCTCATTCTGCGTGTGAAACTCCATCTGCGCATGTGCGATCAGCGCCTCCTGCTGGCCGGAGGTACACCAACGTCACTTAAAGGGGACACGTCAGGAAAAACAGGATTGTCATTGCTGACGATTCAATATAATTAGTAATTCAAAAATCATCATGGTTTTGACATAAGATTAAGAACAATAAGTGCGACCAGTTCTGATGTAAAAAAAAAACACTATTGAAATGGTAATGTAACTAAATTTAAAATGTTGTTTATAAAGTCTCCTTGGAAGTTTTTTTGGCTTTTACAATGAATATGTTAGCCTTACTCTTATCTATAAGCTAGTGTGCTCCAAAACAATGGCAAAAAAATAAAATTAAATTAAAAAATAAGATATAAGCATTCAAATACACAGTCTCTCACTTCCGCCCAAAGTTGCTCTTCTATCAGCTTGAATCAGTCGGCCCATTCTCCTCTGACCTCTCGCATCAACAAGGCATTTTCACCCACAGGACTGCCGCACACTGGATGTTTTTCCCTTTTCACACCATTCTTTGTAAACCCTAGAAATGGTTGTGTGTGAAAATCCCAGTAACTGAGGAGATTGTGAAATACTCAGACCGGCACCAACAACCATGCCACGCTCAAAATTGCTTAAATCCCCTTTCTTTCCCATTCTGACATTCAGTTTGGAGTTCAGAAGACTGTCTTGACCAGGACCACACCCCTAAATGCATTGAAGCAACTGCCATGTGATTGGTTGATTAGATAATTGCATTAATGAGAAATTGAATAGGTGTTCCTAATAATTCCCTGCAAGCAATTTTGCATTTAAAAGACGTTGCTAATAGCCATTCAAACACAGCCCAGATTTGATGATGAAGAAAAACCATCGGCCAAGAATAGACTAGTCATCAATTACATAACAAAGAAATAAAATGAGTGAAGAAATGAAACAAAAACACCTTGATCACAGTTGACTTATCATAAATAGCGCAAGTTTTGGCAAAAACGACATGTAACCAAATTGAAGGTGATTTTGTATGGAAGTGGACTACATCGGGTCTTTAGTTAAACTGGACTGGGAAATGACGGATATTTCTTGCTGGGTTTCGCTCCTGAAAGCGGAGAGAAGGAGGGGAGAATGTGTGTGTTTGCTGTTTAGATGTGTGTGTCAGTGTGTGGTGTGGAAAATTGGCTGCTCATGAGAATGTGTTGCTTTAAAAGCATGGAAATAAGATGTCGTATTCCTGACTCTTTTACTTGGAAAGTAGTTGCAAATGTTGTTCTCGCTTATTTTGAATACAGCCAGCAAAAAGGAGGACAAAGTTTTGCTTAAATCCAGATCTTTAACCTCTCTCAATTGTGTCCAGCATGGTTTGACCTTTTAGCAAATCCAAGCAAATAGGATTTTTTTTATTTATTTTTTTTTAAATATTATAATAATCTCAGAATCAGAGACAACTCTTCCCTTTCTGATCCTGGGTCTGTGTCATTTACAGTACACTCACATTACAATATGTAGGATGAGAGTTGGGTCAGTTTACAATTAAATATAATCTAGAATAGAAATTGGGTTTCACCATAAAATCTATGATTGGATTATGTCTCTCAGTAATGCAAACTGAACTGATTCTACTGTCTTAACTCAATGAAAACTATACATGAGTGAAATAATAATAAATAAATCAAATCTCCATTCAAGATACAAAAGCAACAACACAAAGAACTAAATTCAGGATCGGGACCAAACTGCCAAATTTGAAGAGTTATGCTATTAAAAAGTTTTGTTTTCCTGCACATTAAATATGACCTATATCTATATAGGTCATAAATGTACACTCCAGTAATTCACTTTGTTCATTTTTGATGTTATACCTAATATTTATTTATTTTATTTATTTAGCTGTTGGATATCAAGTGAACACAATACTGGTCTCATATTCAACTCTAATGAGGGAGAATTGTGACTAAAAGGCTGATCTGTGCTCTCAGGATGAGAGTGTTTTTGCTGACATCAGTTGTCATTTAAGTTTGTCACGGGTGTATTAAATGTGCGTGTCATTTATTTGATTTTTTGTTTATCGCTTTTCACAACACATGTATTTTCAAAGCAGCTTTACGATGTTTTAAGGTCAATAGCCTTACTGAAAATATGCATTGTCATCCTTGGGCTCGCAGTGAGCAAACTATAGATGATCGTAGGCCTATAGCAAAGAACTGTGTTGCAATTTAATAATTACAATTTGTATTGGTTTGAAATTATGTATGATCCCGCAAAATGATCCTTCAGAAATCATTCTAACATTTTGGTGCTTACTGTAATTATTATTGGTATGTATATAATAATATATAATGAAGAATAGTGTAACATATATTTTAAGTTGTTTTAATATAAATAATAATATTTAACTACATTAATGTTTTTGCTTTGTTTTTATCAATTAAACACAGACCTAGTGAGCAAGGGTATTTTTAAACATTATAATACACTACAATATAATATAATATAATAGGCCCATGTGTGTGCGTGCGTGCATGTATACATATAAAATTCAGCTTTGATCAAGGGAATGAATTACATTTCGAAATATGTTTGAATATTTAGCGAATTATACACTCTAAAAAATGCTGGGTTGTTTTAACCCAATTTTGGGTCAAATATGGACAAACCCTAAATGTTGGGTTAAAAATGTAATGTAAAAAATTAACCCAATGGCTGGGTTAGTCCATATTTGACCCAAAGTTGGGTTAAAATAACCCAGCATTTTTTAGAGTGTATATACATACACACACACACACACACACACACACACACATATATATATATATATATATACATACACTGTAAAATGCTGGGTTGTTTTAACCCAACTTTGGGTCAAATATGGACAAACCCAAACGTTGGGTTAAAAATATAATGAAAAAATGTATCCCAGTGGCTGGGGTTGTCCATATTTGACCCAAAGTTGGGTTAAAACAACCCAGCATTTTTTAGAGTGTATATATATATATATATATATATATATATATATATATATATATATATATAAATATTTAGATGCGATTAATACGATATAGGCTATCGATTTGACAGTGCTAAAGCTAGGCTAATAGGCGATAGATAATTCTATATATTTTTAAAAATCTTATTCTTATGCATCAAACATTACAATAAAACGGTATTTATTTATTTATTTGCTTAGTTATTCATTATGTAGCCTATGTGAAGAGATTACCTGGAAAGTACGGTGGCATCATATACTTCCCTATTGGTGCAGGTGAAGGGTCCATCATCATCATCATCACTGTCAAAGAAGAGTCGGTGCGCGCGCACGCTCCACAGAGCGCGTTCATGTAGGCGTCGCGTGCGTGTCTGCCCAGCTCTGCCATTCCTTCATCACTGACACAGAAGAGGAGCACTTCTGCACTTCTGGACATCCAGGCACAAGTTCTGCTACACAGCTGGAGATTATGTTCAGTGGACTTTTAAAGGAGGAGCCCATTCATGAACTCTCAGACTGTGCTGTGGAGCAAAGGAGAAGGAAATAGCCTACATCTAACTAAAGCTGTAAGTTAACTATAGTGTGCTGAAGATCATCGAGGGAGAGAGAGAGAGAATCATGGCTGGATGCTGCATGTCTGCGGACGAGAAGGAGAGACAGAGGATAAACCAGGAGATCGATAAACAACTGAGGAAAGACAAGAAAGACTCCCGGAGAGAACTCAAGCTGCTGCTGCTGGGTGAGGGACACGTGCAATATCAGTTAACGATGTGAAAACGATTAGAAAAAGACGCTTTACTAATAGACAGACAGATATAGTTACTTTGTTAAGACACCTGTGTGAACGTGACGGCAGGTTGTGTGAAGGAAGTGCGCGTAACCCTCTGGAAATGTTCGCGCGCGGTCAAAAATAACCCCTATTTATTTGTACTTTTTCATTATAGGGTACACTACATTTGTTCGATGATATTTTTTTATTTAATATTAATATTTATTTTTAATATTAATTTGTATTTTTAGGGGATTTTAGGGTTGCTAAATTATATTTGTGCTGCAGGCAAGGGTTGAAGCATGGACCTGAACATGTATCTCTATCTTAAACTGTCATAGCCTAAATCTTGAATGTTTTGGAGCAAATATTTAAGTTTGGTCTCTTTTTAGGGAAGACACTTGGCAGATTATTTCAAGTGTGATTTTTTTTTTTTCACATCATGATTTTGTTGTGTGTGTTTGTGTGTGTTCACGTTAGTGCCAAAATCCTTTCAAGTTTATACCATTAAAAATAGTAAAAAATTAAAACAAAACGTCAAATTTAACTGTTAAGGACAAAATATGGTTAACCGTATTGAATGTGCACTAGTAGTGTATACTTCAAACCTTTGAAGTAGGCCTATATTTAAAGAAAAAAATGTATTTTCAGATAATATTGAAATAAAAGGCCACTTAAGTGTTCTTAAAGGGAGCACACTTTTATAGTATCTTAAGTACGAGTTTAAACGGCACTGTAATAATGCCATTTTTTTAACTTCAAAGTACATTTTAATTCATAATCTTTTCCTGTGCTTTAAAGAAAGTGCTATTCAATGTTAAATTAAGTGTTATTCAATACCACATTGAACGTTAATTTATTTTAAATGAGCTAAATGGCAACTTCATCTGTACAAATGTGTAGTTACAAATGCATGACATACAAGTTTCAATAAATATTTTTTACTTTAGTCAGTACATTCGGCAGTACACTTTAACCATAAGACAATCACTGTAAAAAATATTTTCAAGATTTGTTATCACAACATATTTTCTTTTGTCAAATCAACTTTATAATAATTTATTTAGGTGAGATAACTTATTATTTTGAGTTTCTGATGATTAAATTAATCTCCTTCATTGTATTAACTCACTTTTTCCAGTTCAATCAACTTCAAATTTTAAGGCAACCCAGGTTACTTACTTTTTTAAGTTAAACCAACAATATTTTTTTACAGTGTAGTATGAAATGACATACAGATGGGCTCAAAAAACACTCTTGAGTTCAACTAATTGCATTTAAAATTGATTTAAACTATAATACATTTAATTGCAAATAACATGCAATTAAGTCTCAGAAAACATTAGGTTCAGTTTGCACTCAAGTATACTGAAGGACATGGATTACCAAAATGACTGCGACCCCGACATTAAAGGTCAATCACTGTGCAAAAGTGTCTCAATAAGCATTTGTTTGCTTACGACACATGGTTTGGTGTATTGGTGGGGTCTGTGCCTGTCTAGATTTATAGAAAGAGATGTGTGTGTGTGTTTAGATACACCGTTTCACACAGCAGTTCCTGGCCGCACGGCACTGCCTCTGGTCTATGCAAAAGCATGCAAAGCAGACCTGCAGTGAACGAACACACTTTCCTCAACAGCTCTGCCTCCCTCAACACACTCATTTCCAAAGTCACTATCTCTCGGAGAAATGGCTGTTGTGTTCTGTCGTGCATGTCATTTATAATTGTAACAGCGGTTCATCGATACACACCTGTGCAGAGTGTGTGAGCTGAATCTGTCTCCCGGTAGATTCATTATTACGCTGGCCCTCGAGACAGACCCGACGGAAAGGTCAAGATAAGCCTCGCGTACACACACTCGCTTTTAGCTGCATTGAGTGTTCTTTACATGTCAAACATGAGTCTATTGTATGACCATGCGCTTTACAATATGTAAAACAAAACATTTGCATTGCACTGTCATGTGCGTGTGTGTTTTGTGTACAAAAAGTCAAGTACTTTTAGGTGTGACCACAGTACAATACAATTCAATTCTTTATAAACATATTTTGGTAACACTTTGCCATATAAGGTTCATTAGTTAATATAGCAACTATCAATGAGCAATACAGTATTTATTAATCTTTCTTAATGTCACTTAATAAAAATACAGCCGTTCATTGTTTGTTCATGTTAGCTGTAATAATGTATTAGTAAATGTTGAAATTCACATAAATCCTGTACAAGTGCAGTTCATTATTAGTTCATGCTAGTTAACTAGTGAATCTTATTGTACAGTGTTGCCCATATTTTATTAGAAAGACTTTGTTTTGGGGGGAATGACGGTACAGTAATATAAATCACAATAGTGTCATTAACAGATAATCCTCCAAAAACGATTGTTTGGAAATAAAAAAAAGTACATTTAATATAGGGCTGTGCAAAAATTAATTGCGATTAATCATATCCAAAAAAGTCTGTGTTTACATAATATATTTGTGTGTGCTGTATATAATTATTTTGTATATATAAATACCTATGCATGCATGTATATATTTAAGAAAATGTGTTATTCATATATAAAATATTTATATTTATATAATATAGATTATGTATTTATATATATATATACAGAATTTAAGCGCAAATATTTCTTAAATATATACATGCGTGCATAGGTATTTATATATACAAAATAATTATATACAGCACACACAAATATATTATGTAAACACAGACTTTTATTTTGGAAAAAATTAATTTTTGCACAGCCCTAAATTTTAATAGTGTATGTTTGAAATAATTCAAAGACTGTGTTTATTTGATTAAAACAGTAATATTGTGAAAAATTATTGCAATTTAAAATAGCTGTTTTCTATGTGAATATAGAGTAAAGTTTAATTTATTCCTGGGATCAAAGCTGAATTTTCAGCGTCTTCAGAGTCACATGATCCTTCAGAACTCATTCTGATTGGCTGCTCAGATATTACTAATTATTATTGGTACTCACTACTATTAATAACAGTTCATATTATTATCAGTATATGAATGCTTTATTTTTTAAGGATTCTATGATGAAGAGAAAGTCGAAAAGAACAGCATTTATTTAAATCTTTTGTTTTATTAATGTTTTATGCATCAGTTTATTGAATCCACAAGCATTCATTTCTTTCTTTTTGTATCTTGCCCCAAACTTTTATCATGGTTTCTACAAAAATATAACGCAGCAAAAACTTTAAGAAAATAATAATGAAATAAATGTAGCCTTTAAAATAAAAAAAATGTAAATCTATTTCAAACTGTTGACCTGTTTATATTGATAATTATTTTGTAATTTCCTGTTTACTTATTATTATTATTACAATCAAGGTTTCAAAAACATAATCTTTAACCCCCTTAACCTCCTACAGACTCCCCTTTTCCATTGAACATTATTATAAAGCCGATAAATCTCAGGACTCTTGGTTTCGAGGTGAAATCATTCAAATCCGCTCATTTTCATTTGTGTAAAGCATCGCAATGTCACCTACGACTTTCTCAAGATTCTAATGCATGCAAATTTGGAGAATGGTTGAATGCAGAACGGCACATTTTCATGTCAAATTTTAAAGCAGGACCTTTAAATGAACTTTTTGCCACACCTTTTGCCAGACATTTTGCTTAATGGCAAACAAAATATTATAAAAAAGAGCAGTAAAAAACTTGCTTTATTGCTCAATGCAAAATGTAGTTGCAGAATTTAGATTTTATTGTCATTTAAAATCATAAATGTAATTGTTACTGTATCAATCGGCCGGGCGGTTTTAACGCGCGTTTGGATGCGAATTAAAATCGAGCTTCATTTTAACATTCATGAAGCTAGAATGAGTATGCATTATTATTGATATACTAAATGACTTTGTAATTTCACCAAACCAACCTGCAGAACACACCCCCATCGTCCATTGGTCGGAAAAACAAATGGCCACGCCCCCACCTCACACCATTGGTTGAGCCAGTGTTGCTGTGTCTGGCTGGTTGGGAGTTTATCATGCATTATTTAGCACGCATTATCACTGATATACTGTTATAGATTTTTTTTTTAAGCCATATGTTTCTGTTAAGTGGCTGGTAAATAATTCAAGATATATTATCGCTCTAAAAAACTTGGAATCATCGCTGAAGAAATATGTGTAACGAAATATGGACTTACTGCATGTATGTCTGATTTATATACGCATTGCACTGCAGAAGTAACACAAACCTTCACCGTCTCTCAGACAGCTGTAAAAGTGTCAAACATCAGGCGCCGGCGAGCAGAACACACACCTTATTCTTATTCATTTACATCACGCCTCATTGTCCGACCACAGAAAGTATGAGGCTTTAGAGTTAATGCTGGTCTGTGGAGTGTCTTTGTCTTTAAAGTCAGTAATTTAGGCTAAATCTGACCTGGGAATGATATACTTTGAGCCTTTATGAAGTCAAACCAGCTCGCAAAACTCAAATATGATTAGTAAGTGAGTGTGTAGTGAGGTTTGAAGTGTGTGTGGAGCAGTGCTCGAATTGAGTCAAGTCTTATGGGGGGTCCCCAATTTTTTTCCTGGGGGGTGGGGGGGGGGGGGGGGTGTTTGGGATATAAATAGCATATATTTATACATAATATGCATAAATGTATACTATTTATTAAAACCGCTTGAAAAATAATTATATTAGGCTATATATATAATTATTATTTAAAATTACTTACTAAAGGTTTGGATTTAGAGGGCAGCAGAATTTTCACAAATTTTCAGCATCATTACTCCAGTCTTCAGTGTCACATGATTCGTCATTCTAATAGTAACATGATGATCTGATGATCAACAAACATTTATGTAATAAACATTTATTTTATTTTTCAGGATTTTTTAGGTATAGAAAGTTCAAAATAACAGTTTCTATTTGAAATAGAATCTTTTGTTACATTATAAACTTCTTTACTGTCACTTTTGATCAATTTAATGCGACCATACTGAATAAAAGTATTAATTTATTTCCCAACATTTTTTTTAAAATACATTCTTACTGACCGCAAGCTTTTAAATGGTAGTGTATAATGCTACAAAAAGTTTTATATTTCAGATCTAAAGGATCATGATGAACACTGGAGAAACGATGGTTTTCAGCTTTGATCACAGAAATAAACAATATTTTATTATATTATTATTTTAAACTGTAATAATATTTCATAAAATTACTGTTTTTACTGTATTTTGCATCAAATCAATGCAGGCTTGGTGAGCAGAAGAGTCTTTTGAACAGTTGTGTACATCCAACAAAATGATTTATTTACAAATGTTGTTTTTAACCTAAAAACAACTGCATGATTAATGTGGATTATGTGACACTGTGGTAATAATGTTGGTTTCAAAAGACTTGATTAAATAGATGAAACTTGTTTATTAGATATTATATGGTGGGGATTTTTCAACTATTTCAGCACATGCGATTTTTACATAGTTACGTCCAGTAGGTGGCTGAAAAGCACTCAGTAGGTCAGCAACTATTCAACGACCATGACTAGCGAAAAAGGCAGCTTTATTCAGAAACAAACAATGCCATGCCAATCGATGTCAATTATTGCTATTTTAAGAGTGAACTTTGAAAGTGAACTTTGAAACCCAAAACTTTGTGTTTACGTGGCCGATCCTGGCAGCATGAAAAACAAGTTTTATACAAATTCTGAATGGAAATTAGAAAGCACACAACGATCGTTCCCTTTGCTGAAAAACTGTTATCCATCTCCGTCGAGATCTCTAGCACTCCCGTAGAACCAGGGCTATTAATAATGGTGGAAAAAAAGTAACTTAAGCCTAAATGTTTCCAATTTACGCAAGGAATACAGAAGCCCCGATATGGTGTGGGTAGATATAATGTAGAAAGATATATAAAGAGAGACAATTACCCCTCAAAAAAGTCGGTAAGAAGCTTTCTCTTACCGACCTCGAGTGGAGGTTTATCTTTTTCATTTTTTAAAAGTTAAAATTAGCTTCAACAGAGCGGCGCCAATCAAACAGTCCTGTCAGTCAACGATATCATTGCGCACAGATTTGTTATTATTATTTTTTACTAAAATAAAAATATCTGAGGGACCCCCCTAATTCTATTTTTTACTTCTTATGGGAGGTCCCTAATACCTTATGGGGGGTCCCGGATCCCCCCAGCCCCCCCTCAATTCGAGCACTGGTGTGGAGTATGGCTTTAGAGTGGAGACTCTCAGTGCACTCAGGGATTGTTTATTGGCCAATGGCAAGACAGATATTCTGCCACACGACACTTTAAACAAAACTCACTGAAACACATACACCCCAAATCTCTCTCGTCTTCTCCGTCTCTTATCTATCACCCCTCGGCTTTTACTGTCTGCCGGGTGAATTTGTTCATTATTACTTTCCGCAAAAATACACTGTCATTTCATGTTTGACATTTTGAACTGAGAGAGAGAATTAAAAAAAAAAAAAGTAACCTATTTTCCATGTTCATCTTTCTTTGCTGTTTGAGAATGAAAAAGCTCTGCGACGTTCCAGTTCTTCTCTATATGAGTGTCAGTGTTTCTGAACTCCTGAAACGCCTCCATTGTAGTCTTGAGTTTCTTCCGGGAACGACACGTCACAATGTTCCTCATTATAATAATTCATGCGCGGAATAAAGGGTTGAGTTTGTTAGTAGTAACTGGTGGTCAGTGTTGGGAGTAACGCATTACAAAAGTAATACATTACAGTAACATATTACTTTTTGCTGTAACACAGTAGTGTAAGGCATTACTAATCAATTTTCAGTAATATTTTACTCGTTACATGTTCAGTGAGGCTTGTATTACAGTTGTATTACAATGTATTGTCTGCTTTTACTTCTTAAAGGCAACAGACTATGTGAAAGTTTTAAAGCAGTCTTTTAGTGCCAGTTCAGAGCGGTCGCGTCTGTAACATTGTTTTTTCCTCATAAATGCGAACACGAAAACTAAAATAAAATGAATATTTTAAGTTCTATGGAGACTGGAGAGCCAACCCTTCCTCATCTGATTTGCGCAGTGTAATTAACAGAATTACAAAAAATATATTTTGCCTCCTATTTTTTTTTTGTCACGCATGAATGTGTGTCTTTTCCCTAATATTAAAAATAAAACATAGACTGATATTTGTCTAATGTCTGGAGTCCTTTGAGGAAGTAGCCTATGTACGTTTCAATACATGTATTTTCGGAGAATTTTTATTTCAAGTGTTGACTGCAAATGTCATGTCCATAATGCTCCTTAACTAGTTTTGTGGTGTAGGTCTACGTATTTTATAATGTTAACTTCAAATAATAGTAATAGCCTAATTTAAAGATAAGGCAGCATTGGATCTGGACGGTAAGAATAACGCTTCTTGAGTTGGAAGAGGTTTGTCGCGATTCTGTAGGTTCGTGGATCTGAGTCGTGTGGCGAATCGCGATTTCGGTTTCATATTGCATATCGTTACAGCCCAAAAGTTAAGTTCTACTTAGTTATTTTGGTGAAAGTAACTCAAAAGTAATACATGAGTAATGTAACGCATTACAATTCTGGGACAGTAATATTGTAAGGTAATTAATTACTTTTAAATAACAGTAACAAGTAACACCTAATGTATTACAGTTTGGAAGTAACTTGCACAACACTGCTGGTGGTTATGGGAAGGAGAGGGACAATTCCCAAACACACTCAAAGGGCTCGACCAATCACAACACACTGATCCAGACAACCAATCAGAGCACAGTGTGCTTTTCAGAAAGAGGGGCTTCATAGAGAGCCTAAGCCCCTCCCCTCCGCTTCCGGCTCATTGGACCTTATTTCGGAAGGAGTCAATGGCGAGAGCCAACTTATCTTTTTATTCTGTCTGAACTGTGCCCTCAATTACACATATGACGTTTGTCAATTTAAAAGATCATTCTGAAAGACAGGAATGTCGCAGTTTGTCATGAAACAGAAGAGTAACATTTAGTTTTATGTGAAAATCGCTCTATGAACTACATCTCCCGGGAAGAGAAACAACGAGTGAGATCCGCTGCTCGTGTGTGTGCAGTCTGGAACAAAACACTCAGGCATGACGGCGTAACGTTACGATTATAACGTAAGACTATAGAAACAATGACAGACATTAGCCTTAGTAAAGTTAGCTTCATTCATTGAGAGAAAATGTGCGCCTTTGGGGTTTGTAGTCTTTGTAATTACGTATTTTCACAGTCTTATACCTCAACGGTTTTACATCAAACTGCGACTTTCTTTACTTTAAAATGTATCTTTTAAATTGACAAACATCATATGTGTAATTCAGGGCACAATTCAAACGACATTAATATTTGTTGTCTCTCGCCACACAATATTTTTTTGAAATAAGGTCCCATGGTCGACCGGAAGGGGAGGGGCTTAGGCTCTCCATAGAGACAGGAACTAAACAGAGCATTACTGATCCACAGAATTTAGACATACACTCGTACATACACTAGGGATTTTATATGTACTGACCCTCGATCCCTCAAATTTGACAGAGGGAATGAGTCTACTCAATATGTACACATTAGATCCATAGACACCATGATTGAGATGTCACAACAGATCGCACCTACACAACTCAAGTCTGGCTGGTTGGGAGTTTAGAATTTATTTATCATGCATTATCATTGATATACTCTTTGTTTTTGTTCATATTTGGAATTTCTGTTTTCACTTTAATCTTGTTTTAATAATTTTGCCGTTTCTCAAAAATATGTCCAGTTTATTTAGTTTTAGTCATTTTAGTACTAAACGAAAATGAGAAACGCTGCCTTTGCACCTATCTGAAACAAAATTAGTCATTTTATTTTACGTTTTAATTTTTTTTTGATGGTTTTAGTTTTAGTTACCGATAATAACGCGGGCGGGCTGCACATGTATTTCCCTCTCCTCACTGGGACATTACACTGTTTGAAACGATCCTCAGATTTCCATCTTACAGCTGTCGTGAGAACACACACACAGCAGCTGGAGAATATAAACACAACTCTGGCAAGACACACACTCAGTCTCGTCGCAACAGTAGCCAAACACTAAACAGATTTACCTTGCGTTCATCTCTGAGGGAAAATAAGCAAATGAGAAGCGGCCAGATTCAATCCAACCATTGGTGTTATTAATCAAAGCAAAGGCATTATAGCTGTTCATTTATGAAAGAATGCATTTAAGTTCAATTATTAAAATGATCTAAAATAATTTGTGGATTCTGGAATTGGATTTCAACTGATGGAAATCATTTCAACATTTCTACAATGAAAGTTTGTCCAAAAACATTTAGAAACATAAGTCTTTTCTCTTTTGTAGGCACAGGTGAGAGTGGCAAGAGTACGTTCATTAAACAGATGAGGATCATTCATGGCTCGGGTTACACTGATGAAGATAAGAAGGGCTTCATTAAACTCGTCCATCAGAACGTGATCAGCGCCATGCAGTCCATGGTCAGAGCGATGGACATGCTCAAGATCGCTTATGCTAAACCAGAGAACCAGGTACCACACACACACATCTGAACATTCTGATCAATTTGAAGCTTTCTTCATCAGTTTTTGGCGTGCTGATGTCGTTTTATCCCAATTGTATCCCTTAAAACTCATCTCTGATCACCAAAACTACAGGTTTTTTCTATAAAAAAAAAAAATTCTTTATGCCTTAAAATATCTCGAATGTAACTCGACACCCTTGCCTCATTTAGTATACGCAGCTCTATGAATATGCAAATTAGCCCCGCCCAGTTTAAAGCAGAAAATACTCAGCAATGCTGTCGACACGTAAATAACATCACATACACATACTGTATAAACAACATTAAATGCTTGATTTTCACCACAGGGGGACTTTAAATGGATAGTTAACCCAACAATGAGCAGTCATCATTTACTTAGCTAGCTACATTTTTCTCTAAAACTGTATGACTTACTTTCTTCAGTGAAAAAAAAGAAAAAGAAAAGAAAATTGTTGTTTTGGACCCCATTGACTTTCATTGTCTGGACAAAAAACATTGTTCAAAATATTTTACGTTCCATGGAACACGGATTTAGAATGCAATTTGGAATTGCACGAGGCTGAGAAAATTATGTCTGTTTTTTCTAGAAAATCGAGCACATAATTGAAATTGCGCCACCTAGTGTTGAACGGATTTGTGCACGTGGGCCGGATCAGACTCCATCCAGTTTGAAGTTTTTATATCTGAAAAATAATCACAATATTCGCTGCCAGGACAGGAAATCAAAAGACAAAATATATTCTATCTATCATCTAATGGAATTTTGCTTCTCAATATATTTATCTTGTTTGAAGGAGGCTATATCAGGAATTCATTTTGGTCATTGCGTATTTAATAACAAATTGGACTTCAATATCATGCTTTTTATACTCCTGTTTATACAGTATGCTCCTCTCATTAATTGGCTGTTTTCTGCATTGGGTTTCTTGACCGCACACTCTTTTATTGGTCCCCTGGGAGTCAGTGGTCAATCCTGATTGGCTGTGCTTGTCTCTACAGGCTCATGCTACATTGGCGAATGATATCGAGGTGGATAAGATCATGAGTTTGGATGAGAACCAAGTGAACGCCATCCGTAGTCTATGGAACGACTCTGGGATTCAGGAATGCTACGACCGCCGTCGAGAGTACCAGCTAACTGACTCTGCCAAATAGTCAGTCTTGCAATTGTGAACCAATTAAAACTAGAATCTCTGTGTTTTTGGTCAGGGAGCTCTGTAGAAACTTGAGAAAAAGATGATTTTAGAAATAATTCTTATTATGTAAATAATATACTTGGAAAAGAATATACTTTCAGTGTATTGCAGTTAAAATATATATTAAACGCAATTAGTTGAACTTAGGAGGTTTACTTAAGTACTTTAAATATTCAGTGTACTGCCGAAGGTACTGGCAAGCATTTATGGTATCAACTAAAATACACTTTAATGACATTTCTATTGAAACTTGTAAAAAATGAAGTAACATTTTAAGTACAGTTTAACAATTCAGTGCGTTTAAAATATATGAACTTTCAAACTAATATCAAATAACTAGTTATACAGTTAAAACTATAATTAAGTGCTTTAGTTTGGTAGTCAACACATCAAAATAAGCGTACTTCTGTAAAGCACAGCAAAATATTATTAAAACACAATGATTACATTAAGGAAAAATTATTAGTTTGACCATACGTCAACGTGCAATTTTTAAAGGAGTAGTTCACTTTTAAAAAAACTTTTGCTGATAATTTCCTCACCCCCATGTCATCCAAGATGTCCACGTCATTTTTTCTTCAGTCGAAAAGAAATTAAAGTTTTTGATGAAAACATTCCAGGATTTTCTCCATATAATGGAGTTCAATGGGAACCAAACGGTTCAAGGTCCAAAAGACACTTTCAGTGCAGCTTCAAAGGGCTTTAAACGATTCCAGATGATGAATAAGGGTCTTATCAAGTGAAACAATCACTCATTAAAAAAAAATAAAAAATAAAAAAAAGTTTAAGTTTTAAAAGCTCAAACGCTCGCCTTGCTCTGTGCGCGTTCGTGACTCTCCTGTTCGAACTCGTTTATTAAAATAAACAAATCGTTTTTCATGTCATTTGGTTGATTCAACGAACGAAATGAATGAATTGACTTGGAAAAAGTTTCGTTCATTTTGATGAACGAGTTCGAACAGGAGAGTCACGAACGCGCATCACAGAACAGAGCAAGGCGAGCATTTGAGCTTATAAAACTTAAACTTTGTTTTTTTTTTTTTTTTTAAATGATCGATCGTTTCGCTTGATAAGACCCTTATTCATCATCTGGAATCATTTAAAGCCCTTTGAACAGTTTGCAGTTTGCACTGAAGCTCTCTTTTGGACCTTGAACCGTTTGGACCCCATTGAAGTCCATTATATAGAGAAAAATCCTGGAATGTTTTCATCAAAAACCTTAATTTCTTTTCGACTGAAGAAAGAAAGACATGGACATCTTGGATGACACGGGGGTGAGTAAATTATCAGCAAAAGTTTTTTTTAAAAGTGAACTACTCCTTTAAGTCTACTCAAGTGTGTTAAACATAGTCGTGACAGTGTGCTCTTTATAAGTACACTTGTATTTCTTGTATATTATATTTTCTGCTAGTAGTTTGTTTAAAAAGATACTTTTAAGATGTGAAGTACACTACACATTGAAGTGTGCATTCAATACATTTAGTGTACTAAGTATTAGAAGTGTGTTAAATCGAATCACCTGCATTTCTCTAAACATCCAGAATGTGTGTGTGTGTGTGTGGTATTGTGATGTAAAACTCTCTGTGTGCACACTTTCCACAGTATTTGACCACAGGATTTGTTTTGTGGTCCCGCTACAGCTACCTGAGCGACCTGGATCGGATTACAGATGCGGCGTATGTTCCCACAGAGCAGGATATTCTGAGAGTCCGAGTTCCCACCACAGGAATCATCGAGTATCCCTTCGACCTGGAGAACGTCATCTTCAGGTAACTGTCCTAACACACCACAGCAAGCATCAGCACACACACATATGCGTGTTCTCTTAGTATCATGTGTTATTCGGTTCAAATATAGAATGATTTAAGTAAACATAGTTTTAATTTCAATGAAGCATACTATTCATCTAATGCAATACAATACCTGACAAGTAACTAATGCACGTATTGTTACAAACATATTTTGTAATTTATTTCAATTTAAAGGTTCATAAACCATTTGCGTAATCTATTTAATAGGCTATTTTGACGAAGACAGACAAATACGTTTACAATTCATCTCTTCCTGAGTCATATTGTGTGTTTGTTAGTTGATTAGCCTGTTATTACAGTATGTGTGAATACATAACCAGCGGTTTTCCTATGACCAGGTTTAACTGGCAGGAGGCGCTGTTGGGATGGTTGAAACAACCAGTTAAACCTGTTTTGCCCTTAAAGGAGTAGTTCACTTTTAAAAAATACTTGATAATTTACTCACCCCCATGTCATCAAGATGTCCATGTCTTTCTTTTTTCATTCGAAAAGAAATGAAGTTCTGTGTGGATTTTCTCCATATAATGGACTTCAATGGGGTCCAAATGGTTCAAGGTCCAAATGAGAGTTTCAGTGCAGCTTCGAAGGGCTTTAAATGACACCAGACGATGAATAAGGGTCTTATCAAGCGAAACTAGCGGCCATTTCAAAAATAAATCAAAAAGTTTAAGTTTTATAAGCACAAATGCTCACCTTGCTCTGTTCTGTGATGCGCGTTCGTGACTCTCCTGCTCAAACTCGTTCATCAAAATGAACAAATCTTTTCTTAAGTCAACTTGTTCATTGAATGAACCAAATGACACGGAAAAAGATTTGTTCATTTTGATAAACGAGTTGGAACAGGAGAGTCACGAACGCCATATAGCAGCAAAATAGCAATAGATCAATAGCAACAAAAGTGTTTTACAATACAACATCCACACAATAGGTACATTGTACTTATTTTTCGACGTAAGTACATAGTACCTAATTTTTTTGATTTGTAGTGTAATAAGGTCTGTGGTTGGGTCAATAGTCAAATTTTATATCTAAGGATTTTTTTGCACTTCAAAAACCTACACACCTATAGACTGAACTTTGATACGCATTATTACATGTTCAGTCGATCAGCTTGTAGTGTTTCTTTACAAAGTGACATCGCCAACTACTGGCCTGGCAGCAGAATACAGCGATTTTTGACGCGTTTGAGGATCCTTGTTAATGGGGAGCGTTTTGAAAAAGTTGTCGCATGTACGTGAAAAACACAAATTTAACGCATACGTAACGAGTGTAAATGTGCCCTTTAAAGGAGTAGTTCACTTTTGCTGATAATTTACTCACCCCCATGTCATCCAAGATGTCCATGTCTTTCGTTCTTCAATCGAAAAGAAATTCAGGTTTTTGATGAAAACATTCCAGGATTTTTCTCCATATAATGGAGTTCAATGGGGACCAAACGGTTCAAGGTCCAAATGAGAGTTTCAGTGCAGCTTTAAACGACACCAGACGATGAATAAGGGTCAAAATAATAAATTCAACTAGAATGTACATTTCCAGAGGAAAATGTGAAGTGGTGCTTGCAGTGGCAAAACTCACCACCCGGTTGCTAGGGTGTTATGGCTGGTTGCTATGGTGTTCTGGGTGGTTGCTAGGCGGTTGCTAGGGTATTATTGTTGGTTGCTAAGTTGTTCTGGGTGTTGCTAGGTGGTTGCTATGTGGTTGCTAGGGTATTCTGGGTGGTTGCTAGGGTGTTGCTAGGTGGTTGCTAGGTGTTCTGGGTGGTTGCTAGGGTGTTGCTAGGTGGTTGCTAGGGTGTTTTGGGTGGTTGCTAGGTGTTTGCTAGGCGGTTGCTAGGGTGTTCTGGGTGGTTGCTAGGGTGTTGCTAGGCAGTTGCTAGGGTGTTCTGAGTGGTTGCTAGGGTGTTGCTAGGTGGTTGCTAGGGTGTTATGGGTGGTTGCTAGGGTGTTATGGTGGTTGCTATGGTGTTGATGGGCGGTTGCTAGGGTATTCTGGGTGGTTGCTAGGGTGTTCTTGGTGGTTGCTAGGGTGTTCTGGGTGGTTGCTATGGTGTTGTTAGGCGGTTGCTAGGGTATTCTGGGTGGTTGCTAGGGTGTTGCTAGCGTGTTTTGGGTGGTTGCTAGGTTGTTGGTAGGAGGTTGGTAGTTGTCACAGATGGTTACTATGAAGTTTGTAGCATTTTCTTGGCATGATTTAACACTTAGCTAATCAATATTAGCATGTAGCTATTCTCTGCTAGCATGTGTAGCATGTAGCAAGTCATGTTTGCTAGCATGAGTAAAAAGAGCCAACCCCCATCTCTATACGATGTTTTGATGCAGAGATGTAGGTCTTACAAAATGGTTGCTAGGGTACTTTGTTTGGTTGCTAGGGAGTGGCTTAGCAGCTGCCAATCATGAAGCCCCAAAGTCAATGTGAATGTATGAACCAACCCCCATCTCTAGACGATGTTTTGATGCAGAGATAAAGTCTTGCAAAATGGTTGCTAGGGTACTCTGTTTGGTTGCTAGGGAGTGGCTTAGCAGCTGCCAATCATGAAGCTCCAAAGTCAATGTGAATGTATAAACCAACCCCCATCTCTATACGATGTTTTGATGCAGAGATATAGGTTGTGCAAAATGGTTGCTAGGGTACTCTGTTTGGTTGCTAGGGAGTGGCTTGGCAGCTGCCAATCATGAAACTCCACAGGATGCTTGTCAGTATGAATGATATAAACCAACTCCCATGCCTCTATGACATTCAGAATGGAAGATATCCCTCTTTGGATTTTGGTTGCTAAGGTGCTCTACAATGGTTGCTAGGGCGTTGCCAGTAAGTGTTGAGGTGATTCAGGATTGGCTGTTTGCTTGCCCAAGTCAAACGAGCCCACCCTCATGTTTCTATGACACTTATATCCTGAGATATCCATTTGATCTCTTTCAATGAAAGTCTATGGGAGTTGTTGCTAAGGTGCTCTAAATGGTTGCTAGGGCGTGGCTTAATAGCTTCACAATGATCCTGAGAGACTGATTGGTCATCTGAGTAAAATGAGCCCGCCCCCTTGTCTCTATGACACTGTGATCCAGAGCTATGTTCAATACAAAATCCCTATGCAATTTACCATATTAGGAAAAACACATGCATTTGATGGGACGTCCTTCACCATAGTAAGTCAATGGGGAAAACTTTAGGCAGCTCCTGCCCCCCAGGGGTGCAACTTTTACCCCATTGTGTGGTATGTTCTTAAAGAGCCTGCCAGCCTCTTCAAATGTGGCAAATCACACATTTGTCCGAAATCCTCGTTCGGAGCTACGAGTCGTCAAAGTTTGTCTCAATGTTAAGTCTATGGGATTTTTTGGAAATTTGTTCGCCCCTGGGGCGAACACCGTACCCCTGATCTCTTATAAAATTAATATGACACTTCTCCTCAATAGGCCGCACGATTTGATGCCTCATTCATGGGTCTGTGACAAAAAATGTGGACGTAGGAGTGCTCCAAACTTTTTCCTGGAATAGTAAAATGCTATACTAGAAAATTTCAATGGAAAAATTTTTTGGGGAGCTCCTGCCCCCCAGGGGTGCAACTTTTACCCCATTGTGAGGTATTTTCTTAAAGAGCCTGTCAGCCTCTTCAAATGTGGTAAATTGCAAGTTTCTGCGAAATCCTCGCTCAGAGCTATGACTCGTCAAATTTTTTCACCATGTTAAGTCTATGGGATTTTTTTTGGCCGTTTTTCGCCCCTGGGGCGAACATCGTACCCCCGATCGCTTAGAAAAGTCATAGCACACCATTCCCGAATAGTCCGCACGTTTTGACACCTCACCCATGGGTCTGTGACAAAAGCTGCGGGAGGAGTAGCGCGTCAAAAAGTGACCAGAACAATAAGAATAAGAACTAGAATGTACATTTCCAGAGGAAAATGTGAAGTGGTGCTTGCAGTGGCAAAACTCACCACCCGGTTGCTAGGGTGTTATGGCTGGTTGCTATGGTGTTCTGGGTGGTTGCTAGGCGGTTGCTAGGGTATTATTGTTGGTTGCTAAGTTGTTCTGGGTGTTGCTAGGTGGTTGCTATGTGGTTGCTAGGGTATTCTGGGTGGTTGCTAGGGTGTTGCTAGGTGGTTGCTAGGGTGTTCTGGGTGGTTGCTAGGGTGTTGCTAGGTGGTTGCTAGGGTGTTGCTAGGCGGTTGCTAGGGTGTTCTGGGTGGTTGCTAGGGTGTTGCTAGGCAGTTGCTAGGGTGTTCTGAGTGGTTGCTATGGTGTTGCTAGGTGGTTGCTAGGGTGTTCTGGGTGGTTGCTAGGGTGTTATGGGTGGTTGCTATGGTGTTGATGGGCGGTTGCTAGGGTATTCTGGGTGGTTGCTAGGGTGTTCTTGGTGGTTGCTAGGGTGTTCTGGGTGGTTGCTATGGTGTTGTTAGGCGGTTGCTAGGGTATTCTGGGTGGTTGCTAAGGTGTTGCTAGCGTGTTCTGGGTAGTTGCTAGGTTGTTGCTAGGAGGTTGGTAGTTGTCACAGATGGTTACTATGAAGTTTGTAGCATTTTCTTGACATGATTTAGCACTTAGCTAATCAATATTAGCATGTAGCTATTCTCTGCTAGCATGTGTAGCATGTAGCAAGTCATGTTTGCTAGCATGAGTAAAAAGAGCCAACCCCCATCTCTATACGATGTTTCGATGCAGAGATGTAGGTCTTACAAAATGGTTGCTAGGGTACTCTGTTTGGTTGCTAGGGAGTGGCTTGGCAGCTGCCAATCATGAAGCTCCAAAGTCAATGTGAATGTATGAACCAACCCCCATCTCTATACGATGTTTTGATGCAGAGATAAAGTCTTGCAAAATGGTTGCTAGGGTACTCTGTTTGGTTGCTAGGGAGTGGCTTGGTAGCTGCCAATCATGAAACTCCAAAGGCTGCTTGTCAGTATGAATGATATAAACCAACTCCCATGCCTCTATGACATTCAGAATGGAAGATATCCCTCTTTGGA